TTTCGTTGGGCAACATCTCTTGCACGATGCAGGGACGAATGTCCGCTCCAGGAACTCGATCAACGGGAGCACAGGTGATACAGGTGATCTATAGATATTTGTATGCTATGGGCCTTATGGCCCGACCTCCACCCCTTCTGCGAACAAGCGTGGACTCAAGACTCGCTGGGATGCTCCATGTTACGATTCGTTCAATACAGTGCAATATTAGCAGTGACACTGAACTGCTCATATTGCCCTGTATGAAAGAAATGACATATTCCGTTTCCGTGCAAGTACGCCTGGAAAGCCAGGTCAACCCGGCGAAGCCGGGCTGATGGGAAGGAGGAGGAGCTCGGAGCAGCGATCCAACTGTTTGTAAAATGAACCACCTGCACTTCTCGAAACTAAAGCACTATACCAACGAACTTCACGTAGTACTTATACTATTGATTAAAACCGCTTCCAACTGAAATAAAGGTGAAATCGAAAGACGACTTTCGCTTTCAACTTTCAGAACAACCAATTCATCACAGGCTCATGACTGGTCACCAAGCCCTCAGAATCGCAACTGCAAAACGTGTCATTGATCAATAGCCCTGCGATCACACCTATTTGTTTAGGTTGCTTTCAGGCAAGGATGTGTCCATTTCAGACGTATTTTTTGATCAAGATAACAAGTTCGGGCTGAGATACTTTAATGTTGGTACTTGCAGAAGAAGTGAAAGCACCTGAAGGCTTCACAAGGATCCGTCAACCTGTGAGATGAACCCTTCGCAGTTTGTCGGCATTTTCGACACCTATGAAAAGCATGTAATGTACTTTCATGTTCAACGGAAGACAACATTGTTTTGTGGTGTAACTACGAATATAGTTACAATATTTGCTCTATATGTAATGAAAACAAGTTCTATTGAGATTATGAGATTGTTCCGAATCCTCATGTATTGTAACGTTGTATTTCCCGCGCTATTATGCAACGAACTATGCCTCCTGCTTGTGCCATACATTCTGGTACCATACCCTGTCATTCTGAACATGGGTCCATTGAGATTTGGTCGTGAAGCGACTTTATTGCATGGCGCCATGGTTTGTTGGTTTGCAGCGCTGAGCGTTCTTTGCATTGCTTATTCGGTATTGCTCAACTACGTAACAGTGTGTCATTTTTGGCTGCTGAGATCCAACGCTTTTTTCATCTTGGAGTGTATCGCCATACTGGTTCCAGCAGTAGTCATAATATCCTTGAGTGTTATATTACCATATTTGGTACTGAGTGATACACAATCAATCCCGTCAATGCTGATAGCAGATCCAAGGAACGCCGTCTTTGTGGAGAAGTACGCAGCGATGCCACTCCACTTCGAGTCTTTTGGCCTCGACTTATGCCTTATAGCCTTACTCCTTCTATACACTGTCGCAACAGTAATTGGTACAGCAATGGTCACCAGGTAAGCAATCATATTTGCCGATTTCACAATCGTTTATAAAAAAAGAAGACGCTCATACTAGGCGATCACGCGCGTAGAAGTGCGGTGGACACGCGGCTATCCATGAACGTTGACCCCTTTTTCCTTCCAGAGAGTATAAGTGAGAAAAGGGTGGGGGCTCTCGCACACAGTCTTGTATTGATCGGTTGTTGTGATGTTTTGAGAGTATACAAGAATACAATTGTGCCAGAACGTTTCAAGGCAGCGCTCACCCTCTTGCTATGCTCTCTCAGAACACAAGTGATCTGCTGATCAGCACCAATTAATGCTTTCTGCGCCTACTTTCCCGTCTTTGGCATTCCAAGCGTCTGAGCTCTGCTTTGGAGAAACCCGTTTCGTTCCTACTGATGGTATATCACCAGTCTCCCCAGAGGAGTCCGATTACAGTGGTTCATTTCACTCGAGGGAGTAGCTCAGATGGCATGAGAGGAACAACTACACTTGGTCCTTGGATGTCATACATAGACAGCGGCACTTATGGTTACTTCACCACCTTCACCATTATCACTAACATGAATTGTTCAGGGTCAGGAGGTCCGAGTAGCTCTCACACACAGAAACCAGTTTGGTGGCCGGGGATCCCATCCGCTCAGCATTTAGGATCTTCTTACCTCTACTTCAATTGTGATGAATTTATGGAACGAAAGGCTTTACTGCTAACACCAGTCAGACCCTGAAAGAAATTCTAGATCCCATCGGCACCAGCACTGAACAGAAGTTGATATGCAGCTGAACAAGTGACTTCACCATTACTGCATTGTTCTTTTCGTGAACTGCTTAAACTCTGCTTAGGCGTTATACAATACCGTTTACATTCTAGAGTTATTCTGCGTATTCGAGCAAGGAAGCACGAGTTCTCTGCCAAAACATATCGCCTTCACATCAATGTGGTCGTTTCTCTGATCATCTACTGTGTCATTCTTCTTGTTCAAGTCGGCTTACCTACTATGCTTTTTATACTCACACTAATTCTTGAACTGTCATGGATGACCACAACGTAAGTATTTTCATACACCAAGCTTTTTTTGAAACCTGTCACCGACTTTCACTGGTTGTATCACGACAGAGCACAGGATTAGAAAAAAGTAGAGAGGACCGCGGCTACCAAAGCACGTCCCTGAAAAAACAATCTAGCGAGTCAGCGGAATGAACTCTTCAGGAGAAGAATGACTTTCTGTAGGTAAGCCACTATCTTGTGTAAAAAAAAAGCAATCACATCCCACTCCTCTTGACACCGCTCATTCAATGTGCAACATACCACCTTTGATAGTGGAGACACCATAGTCAGTTTCAAGCGGTCGTGGCGGTTCGGAGCCGGGAGCGGGATGCTATCTTTTTTGTGGACATGGTCCCGGCTGACTGCGACCCATGTGCCGCCGTGGCCAACTTGAACTCAGCCTCACACTTCAATCCCTTAACAGCGCGTCAAATTGTCACAGTCAGATGTTTTTCATTGCTCTCCCTCTCTCGCCCTCGCCCGCGTGGCACTCTATGGTCATAGTGACTTTGCACATTGCAGCTTTTCACGTCGTGGCTCACCCACACCGGAGTCCCCTCGCATCTAGAAAGTTCGTTTCCTGGCTCGCCATAGTTTCTTGCACGTCTCGATGCTTCTGGCAGACGCTGTCTTCTGTCTGCCTGCGTTTCTTTGGTTCTGCAGCGGGACTATGAACAAAAGTTCAAGATGTCACGTAACCTGCTGTGGTCTGTGAGAAGCTAGCAAGATGATGGATTTGCCCGTCAAGAGATTACAAGCCATTCTTGCATGCGTTTCACCCATTTCAGGCCTCAGCTTGTAACAATTTTGTTCTTTCCAATTCCACTATTCGCCATGTCTACAAGCATTATGTATTTGATGGTTATTCGTCCATTTCGTGAATGCGCCATCCGACTTATCAAACGTGCTCTGTGCGCAGTGGCTCCGTCGGTATTCATCAAACTTCGAGAGCGTAGAAAACCTAGCAATTCGTCAAGTTTCATTAGATCGAACACTTACAGTGGAACAGAAGCACTTCGACCGAATTCAAACCACAAATTGACCTCTGTTACTTGAAGGCCGTGGGTATGATGATTTGGTTTGGCGCTTAGTCTAACCGTATAAGGAAGGAAAATTATGCTCCTAACTGGTGTTTGGTGTTGTGCTTTACAGTTGGCGCGTGAAGCGGTTTGATGGGTCTCCAGCTTTTCTCTTTTCATAACCTCGACATTGTTGTAAATTTGATGTTTTATTTCTAACAGGGGTTTTAGGTGGAGCTTTATTAATGTCCTAACATTTCGACCACATCTCGTCCTCAGCGGTCTTCAACTTATGAGCAGGTAAAGTTTGTTATGAGGCAGTAGTGTGAGGCTTGGTGATGACCTGTGCAGCATAAGCGAAAAATCGCATACGTCAAATCATGCCTGTGAAGCGGGAACCTTACCACTGAACCACTACGACCCGATTTGACGTATTATGTATTGACGATTCCTTGATTATATACAGCTCACCTCCAAGCCTTGACCATACTGCACCACTACAAAATTTACCTGCTCATAAGTTGCTTGTGAAATGCAGGTTGCAGTTTTGCTATCCATATTTGTAAATAACCTTATAGACTCTATCGATCTACCCAGGTCTCCATTCAAAGTTCCATGGTAATTGGCGACTTCGCCTGGTAAGTACCGTCGAAAACGCTAGGGAGACGGTTTAGAGGGCAGCTCAAACATCTTGAGCTACATTTAGGCTTCTGAGGACGACGGCCTGGTAGAAACGTTAGACATTCAATAAAATTCCACCTATAAACTCGTTGGAATAGAAGTAGAACATCAAACTTACGATCTGATGAGGTTCCATAGTATTCGCTGCACTACAGTCCTCCCGTTTCCGTATTGCAGCCACAGCCAGCCACGCAGTGGTCCCAACGGCCGTCCAGCCCTTCCAGAATATTCTTTGAAGACAGTGGTACTGACAAGGGGGTATGTCGCACTTCGGAGATCCGGTCACATTCGTTTTCGGAATAAAGGCTTTCGGTCGTCGATTTTCATAAGCATTCTTGTCTCACGAGCGAAACACTGCTCGGCGGACTTGTTTGAAAAAAGAGACTTTGAAAACAAAAACTCAAGAAATGGTGGGAAGGCGTACAGTTTTAGGAGATAGTGGTAGGACGAGACTAGGATGCAGGGATGGGGAGGGGCAAGGACCCTATTCTACAGAGTTTATCCCAAGCGCTGGACGTCCCTGACCGTCCCTACCTAATGATCGGCGGTAACATGACAGCAGCTATCTCGTCACAACTCCAAAGGGGGAGGGGGGTGGCGAACAGGATAAGGACCACACCTCAATTTTCGATTGTCGCCCATTTCTTTTTTTACTCGCGCTTTCAGCACTTCTCAGCCTTCACCTAACGCCATGCAAATTAGCTCACACTCTGCCTTTAAGAAATCAAATGGTTTGTAACTGTTTTTATGTTCATGTTTTGTTTGTTTATTTGTGCTCGTCCTAATAAATCTCACTATATATAAACCAGAAGTTGCTTGTGTGTCTGTGCGTCTGTCTGACCGCCTGAAATTGGGATTTCGTGGAAATTCACTCAAAGGACTTTGATTGTGCTTGGAATGGACGTGGCATTGGCCAGCACATTTGCAGAGCACACATGCCACCTAAGCTTCGCCCAATGGGTGGGGCGTTCGCCGAAGCCGACGAAGCCTAGGATAAAAATCCTCAAAAGAGCAGCACAGGAAACGGGGAATAAGAGTGAAAGTAGGTAGATGAATCGAGAGACAGACACCTGTTCATTCTGCGAATCTTTGAAACTAATGATGGTACCCTTTGGAAAATTTCGACGTCTGTTTCTACTGAGGAGGGGGGCTGGGGGAATATACAACGAATGAAACGGTAAAGTTCGGTGATTTTCGAAAAAATATTTTTTTTTTGGCGAACACTGGACATTCCTCTGGCCCTCACTCGAAAAACTCTGGGGCAATACCATTTTCACACGCGGGACTGGTGGAAGTGAAGTGAGGTGTAAGCGTTACGATACAGGAAAAAGGCCCACCACACTAAAACCATCCAGTGGAGACGGAGTGTATCTGCCACCACTCATACTATCTCGGTAAAGTGACAGCGATCGAATATAAAAGACCCTACTATATATAAACGGCAACGTCTGTCTATTTGGCTGTTTATCTGTATGTCTGTTTTGTCTGTCTGTCCGGAAATTCGGAATCACCTGAAGCCAGTTGGAGGGGGCGGGTCAAGGGTGGGTTGGGTAGGGCATGGGCCAAGATGTACGGAACACACATGAACTGAGCTAAGCCCCGCCCACTGTGGGCGGGGCGTGCGCACAGTTGTGAGCTACATATTTCAAAAATTCGTAGTTCGGTTCTAGAAGATCCCGGAGAGCGGAAATTGTGGGAAACGATAAGCAGTCAGTTGGCGGATGAAATGAGGGAGTCACACCCGTGATGGACGGGGCGTGCTATGGGTGCGCTACAGAACTTTCGAAAAATTCGCAGTTCGGTTCTAGAAGATCACAGAGAGCGGAAATTATGGTAAACGATAGGCAAACACCTCGAGGATGAAATGAATGAAGCACACCCAGAAGGACGAAGCTGGCCGATCCGGCTTGTCCTCCCCTCATGGAAAGCTCCTCACCGGGATCCACTTCACACCCGGAAGGAGGATCTGGCCGGCGAAGCTGGCCGATCCGACTGGCCCTCCCTCTCATGGAAAGCTTCTCGCCGGGACCCACTTCACACCCGGAAGCGACTGGCCCCAAAACTTCCCACCGGGACCCACTTCACACCCGGAAGGTCCGACTGGCCCTCCCTCTCTTGGAAAACTTTTCACCGGGACCCACTTCACACCCGGAAGGAGGATCTGCCGGCGAAGCCGGCCGATCCGACTGGCCCTCCCTCTCATGGAAAACTTCTCACCGGGACCCACTTCACACCGGAAGGAGGATCGGCCGGCGAAGCTGGCCGATTCCGAGTGGTTACAGATAAGAGTTGTCTGGAGGATGAATGGCATAGTCCGCTCGAAGAAATGGGATCCATCCCCCTGAACCTCCGCTCCTCCGCTCTCTACCACTGTTTTTGCTGATGATCCTCACCTCTCTGGATCTCGCTGTCACACATCCATACCTTGGTGGGGTGCACTCCAACGAATATACGAGTGCTGCGTAGAGTACAATCGATAGCAGCGGGCGTCTCCCAGCACGTCGTTGAGGAGGCGAGGCACTGAGGGAGCAGGGATGTGAAGAGCCTGCAGACAGACGAATAGTATCGTCGTGGAGCGTTCAGACTTCGCGGTGTCGCGCGTTACAGCGTTGTACAGTGCAACGTCGCGAAGTCTGAACGCAGCTGTAAAGAGAACGGCAGAGAGTGGAAGTTTACTGCAAGGTTATCCTTACCTCTCTTCGAGGGAGCTAGAGGGCAACTCTCAATCAACTCACTTTCCAGACCGACGGGTTTACTGAGCCAATCAAATGTTCCAATGTAAAACTTAGAAAAGTCAAAATTTTCATTAAGCAAGACTCCTAAAAGGCTCTACGGCACTTCTAGATGACAAAGGCATAAGGACAATCGATGAATCCTTCATAGCAATCATTATTATCAATTAGCAGATTGGCAGAGAATATTTCAAATAAGCGTACAAGCCACTTAAGTAGGTGTAGTGCACCTTATCTCAGGTCGTATCTCAGGTCGTATCCTATCTCAAATCTTATCTATTTCGCAAAGAAGAAAGTCTTCCAGTGCTAAATATCATTCAGTGCAAAGAAGTGAAAACGGAAAACAACTTTCAAAAACTGCGTACGAATTTCGGATTACTGTAGCGTGCATTTTTCGGTGCACGTTGAGCTTCTGCACCAGTGAGCTGCATCACTAATGATTTCAATACGTCTTACCTAGCGAGATGGATTGCTGTTGATTGTTTGTGCTTCTAATGAGGAAAATGTAATAATGGAGAGCAATGTCACTTCTGAGCACGAGCGCGGCCGGCAAAAATGGACATGCAGTCCCGATTCATGCCCGCCGTCCCAGCAGGCAACAAGTGGGGGGGCAGTCTCTAGGCTTGGGGGCAGGACATCTCACATAAGGAGGGACGACCAGATTTAAATACTCGAGCGCCTGGGCTGTCTTCAAGCACGTCACTAGTCTAGCACAGTCACTAGTCTATGAACGCAGAGCTTCATAACCCAACTTTTCGCTATTCAGAAGCTGCACTCTCAAGAAAGTCATGAAAATTAGAAAAAAGAGGCACTTCTGGATTGGCTCACTGTAATTCAACGGTGAAAAGCTTTTCAATACCCGCGCACAATTTATGAATGTGCGCAAAAATTTAAAATCGAGAAACATCCTTGTTGAGGATTCCCAACTGGGAAGGGGCGGGGGGGGGCGTATGAGTCGGGCTGAAAATTTTTTTTGATTGATTTTTTGTTTCAGCACGTGTATACGGAGGAAGGCGTCGTAATTATTCGTGTTGGGAAGTGGGGGGGGGGGGGAATGCATTCCGCCTTCTGAGCTTCTGACGTTCATGATTTTTTTTCTGTTTTATGAGTACTATGACACCCCCTCCCTTTCCCTCCCCCACTTACCCACGATTCTTATCGGAGGCTTGCTTCTCAAATATTGTGGCTACCGAGTTTACCGGAATGTTCTCTAGCAACGTGAGAAACACTCGAGATGAAAATGTTTTGGCCACAGCTTGCTAACTGAAAGATTCCACCCGTTTTCTGGTCTCTTTACAAGCGAATTTGGGTCGGAAACTCCGTCCGAACGAGCCATTCCACCTAGAACTCGCATTTGATTATTCCAGGTTTTCGGAATGTGACACACTTCGGCTATCGCAGTGGCATTTTGATGTGCGTTTATCTCACACAGTTTCCGAAAATCAGCCGCTGTTGAAGCATGCGCTACAGTTCGTACAGGTGAATCTTGGGTGGCTGAATTGTTGGAAGACTTGATTGACCTGGACTGATTCTGATTTGAGATATTTGGGTCGTATTTGGAGGGAGGCGGAGGACGGTTGTATTTGCCCTTGAGAGGATGTTTTGGAGTGTTGACTTTTGCGCCTTTTCCTGTTCCAAGTTCTTTTCCTGTTCTAAATG